TGTTTTTGGTTTTGGAGGGATTATTATTAGGCTCTGTGTGGAGTAAGGAAACTTGCCCAAGGTTTCGCCCTCTGCCTGGAATTGAACTCAGGTCTCTCGCTTGCAAAGCGAGTGCTCTAACCACTGAGCTACAGGACTCCACAGGTCCATTGCATGCTTCTACAGGGAAAGATTAATTTATAGACAACAAATGAAACCAGCTCAAGCAAGCGCTCTTAGTACACAAGAACAAGAACAATTGTATTATAGTTACTAAGAAAATAGTTCTAGGTTAATGCAATTTGCTTATAATTGTGGATTTGTTGGAACTGAATGTTGTACTAAATACATTGAGTCAAATACTTGCAGTTACGATTTTTATTGAAACATCTGGCTATCCTTAAGCATTTTCAAAGCAGAGCCTGGAAAAACAACAAAAAAAAGTTTGTATATATGTTTTTGTCAGTATTCTAAGCAGGATTCTCCTTATCGGTTCTCTCATACAGAATCTGCTCCCTCTAAACTTTTTAATCATTTGTACCGTCAACTTTCCCTATTTAGTTTAAGTCACAGGCAAAACTGTAACTAGAGACAGATGGCGAGGCATAGATAACATGTCCATGTGCAATAGATAACTTAAACTGCCATTGGAAGAAAGATCCTCCCAGGCTTCAACCTCAACATTGCACACATGAGAGAGAGTGGACTAAAGGGGATTAGGATAACTCATGTAGTACGTAAACAGTGGCATGGAGTAGTTGGACCAAAAGGACTGTATCACTGCTGTACAGTCTATATAATCCTTGCATTTGATGTAGAGCCTTATCACGTCTTCAAGCCATCTCAAAGCGCTTCACAGAATATACTGTTAAGTGAATTGACTGACTATATAATCCCTTTTCCTCCATACCCCTTAGCACATATAATTCTCAAGTGTCCATCTAGCTTTGGACCCTGGACCTGGTTCTTTTTCTTCCTCTTTTGCTTTTTTTATCCTGCTTCCTTGATTTTGATTTATCTCGATATTTGTGGAACGTTACATGTTGTGCATTTGCACTCTGTAATAATAATAATAATAATAATCCTTGCATTTGACATAGCGCCACATCACGTCTTCGAGACGTCTCAAAGCGCATCACAGAATATACTGTGAAGTGAATTATGGGTGAAACACGGTAGCCAATTGTGCTCAGCAGTGACCCATAAACAGGCGTGGATTGAAGTGACCTATGTTTCGTATAGGTCAGCTGGCTGAGTCGGTAATACTCTCACCTATGGATTTATGTACTCTAGGCTGACACTCCAATGCAGTGCTGGCAGGATGCTGCATTCAGATGAGATGCCATGCTTCAGGTGAGACATTAAACCAAGGTCCCATCTGGCTGTACATTAATGATCTCATGACTGTTTGCAGGACATAGCTGTGGGACAAAAGAGCTGACGTGTTTGCCTGCAATAAACAGTCAATACACTTGACAGTAATTATTATCATAATAAATTCCTCTGTCCTGGTGACAGGAGTGCTGACAACTGAACTAGGTGGAGTCCTGTAGCTCAGTGGTTAGAGCACTCGCTTTGCAAGTGAGAGACCTGAGTTCAATTCCAGGCAGGGCGAAACCTTGGGCAAGTTTCCTTACTCCACACGCCTAATAATAATCCCTCCAAAACCCAAAAACAATAATAAAATTGGTCATTTTCAATCTACGACTGTTTGTGGGACACTGCTGTGCGCAATTGGCTGCCGCGTTCGCCCACAAATATACAGTCAATTCACTTTACAGTCTATTCTGTGAAGCGCTTTGGGACGTCCTCCCGACGTGAAAAGCGCTATATCAAATGCAAGGATTATTATTATTATTATTATATAGGTTGACACTATTGGAACAATAACAACAACTTGGGTTTCACCCACAAAATATACAGTCAATTCACTTTGCAGTATATTCTGAGTAGAGCTTTGAGATGTCTCAATGACAAGGCTATATCAAATCCAAGGATTATTATTATATTCATATAATAGTAATAATAATAATCATTATAATACTTCATGCAAGTAGCATCCCTGAGCGCTTAAAGAAGTATGAAAGGTGTATTATTTTCCATAAGCCCTTAAATGTTTGGTACCATTTGCTCTCCTCGGCTCCTGCTGCAAGTTCTCCATTGATCCTTGTGTTTGCTGCTTTATTTACCCTCTATCATACACGTTCTTTTTATGCTGCACATTAATAATACAAGTGGTGTGTGGCTGCCACCTGCTGGGGAAATGTAAAATGCTCATAAAGAAAGTGACACAAAATTTGCTGTCTCTCATCAGCCTTAGCAGGACCTGGAAGGGCAGACCAGTCATCGGGAGCAGAGACTCTTCCTTCTCAGCTCATGTTAAACCTGCAAGCCAAAGCCCTAATGTGTAGGGTGGTCCTAGTTGGACAACCAGCAGGAAACATCTTGAAGCATTTTACAGAATTAGATAAATATTGCAAATTCCACCCTTAAACAACAGGTTTACAACAACAACAACAAGATTGCATTTATAGAGCGCCTTTCACGTCGGGAGGACGTCCCAAGGCGCTGGACACTTTGGGTCGGGGGAAATGGTCAGGGTGAGGGGAGGGAAGGGATGGAGCGAGGAGGGGGTAGAGAGTCAAGAGGGGAGCTGAAAGCACGGTTGAAGAGAACACCTTTCACATAGGATAACACCTTTCACATAGGATAACGTCCCAGAGCACTGTAAAGCAGCACATCACAAGACCAAGAGGATACAGGTTCAGAGTTGCAAAGTGCAATTTCAGGAGATAGCAGGAATTTTTTCTTTACTCAGAAGGCAATTAACATCTGGACCATCAGCAACAACAACAAATTATATTTGTATATCGCCCTTTGCTTCAGATAGACATCCCAAGGTGCTAGACAGTCAACGATTGGCCAGGAAGGGTGGTTGAAGCCAAGACACTGAGCTCCATTTAAGAAGCAGTTTGATGTTGTGATGGGACGTCAGTAGGGTGGATACATTGGAAGGATTTTGGAGAATATGAGATTAGATGGACCGATGGACTTGCTTTGCCTGAACCAATCTTGTGATCTTGTGATCACAAAAGAGGTCCAGATAAAAAAGGCCCTTCAGCTCACTCGATTTAGACATTTTTACCATTTGCAACTTTGAACTGCTGTTTGTTATTGGATGCCTTTTACACACCCTCACAGTGTGGCAATCGAAAAGGAAATTAAAAGGCTGGGTTGATCTCTGCTCAAAGGCAGAACTGGAGCAGTCCAACAGTGCTCATCGTCTGCCACTAGATGGTAAAATATAGCAGACGAATCTCGAAATCTCTTGGAAATCCTGTTGTTTGCCAGTTGACAGTGGCTTCTATTTGTTGCTTCTCTGCCAGCAGCTGGCCGAAATGTAATTTAGAACGCTAAATAAAAACTTGGTTAAGTAAGCCATTCCTGCGGCTTGAGTTTTATAAATAAAAACTCTCAGATTGTTTTCGAAGAAACATGGCTGATGCAGGACTGAATAATAAGCTGGTGGGAGAAAACATTCTCCAGAATCATAGAATGATAGAATATTACAGAACAAAAGGAGGCCATTCAGCCCATCTTGCGTGTGCCTGCTCTTTGGAAGGCTACCCAATCAGTCCCAATCCCTCACTCTTTACCTATATCCTTACAAATGTTTCTTCCTCAAGTATCTATCCAATTCCCTTTTTAAAGTTATTATTGAATCTGTTGCCCCCATCCTTTCAGCCAGACCGTAACAACTCTCTGTGAAAAAAAAGTCTCCTCATCTCTCCTCTGGTTCTTTTGCCAATTATCTTGAATTTATGTCCCTGATTATCGTCCCACCTGCAATGGAAACAGTTTCTCCCTATATACTCTATCAAAACAACTGATAATTTTGAACACCTCGATTAAACCTTCTCTGCTCTAAGGAGAATTTACCACCACAGAGCCCGACGTCCGAGTAAGTGATGGCTCTGACCATTCACCATCTGGATCCCAGATGAATCTAGCCAATCACCACCTGGATCCCGCCCTTCTGGTAAAACCCCAACATTTTTAAACGCATGGAGGTTTTACGCTGAATCAACGTTGCTCTGAGAATTCCCTCCCATGAATCTGGGCCCTCTCCCAACTCAAATTCGTCACTCCCAATTTATCTGAAATTCTCGTACACTTTCGGGGACCTAGTTCACCACTGGTTGGGTGTCAAACAAGACACCGAGGGTCTGCACCGGCCCCTGCGAGATGATGCGTGCACCTAACCAGGTTGATGTTGTTAGCACCCGAGGTGAGAAGGTGCTGAATGGAGGCAAGCAGAAAGCTTTTGTCCTGTTAGAGCTCATCCAGGACTTAATGTACCAACAGCAGTGGTCCTGGAATCAGGGTGGAGGCAGAGAGATGGAGTTGGGTGTCATCTGCGTCCATGAGGAAGTTAGCCCCATGTCTGAGGGTGGCATCACCCAGGCGGAGCACATAAACAACCAATGGAAGAGTCTGAGAATCAGAAGGGGTTGGGGTGCCCGACATCTTGTTTTTTCCCAACCTGTAATGATATTTTCCAAGATCTGTTCTGTGCTTTTTTCAGCACCGGCAGAGAAAATTGGGAGAAAAGAAGAGTTCATTTGTAACGTCCACAGAGAGAGATGACACTCATCTTATTTATATTTCCACATGTTTTCCAATGTTTATTTAATAAAATGGATATGGGACGTACTGTACAATCTTCCCAGACATGTTGCGAGCACTGAGGAGGACAAGACAATCTATGACTTATTTTATCATGTTCGGATTTATTTATAGAATTACCAAGATCAGATCATTGTCTTTGAGTTCTTTTTCATTTTCCAAACCCAATGTCTGGTTTATTGATTGCTTTACAGAACATTTTGATCCATGTACCTTGCTTACATGTATGTGCGCAGAGTGTGTGTGTTTTCAATATAAAAAGGCTGTACACTAATACATTGTGAAGAAGTAAAAACTGAGAAAATGAAGCATTGCCATTGTACATACAATCAATGTAAAAGCTTCAAGCTGTCTTTATTTACATACACTTATTTCCATCATTTTGTTTGTGGTTCTGTGATGATGTTCTGCATAAATTTGCTCCTAAATCAGTAACGTTTTCAACACATGTTTGAATGGGTAGTGGGAGGAATAGGGCAGTGGGTGAAATTGCACAAAAGAAGAACTTGAACAAACACTGTTCTCTCGTTCACTCGCTTTGCATTTTGACACAAGCCCTATAATGCTGAAACGTCTCACAGCGCTTTACAGGGAATTGAATGTGTACTTTTAGACGAAAGTGGCAGACAATTTGCCCACAGCAAATGAGGGGGATAAAAAGTCTCAACTTTGCTGCTAATCTTGCTCACGAAACAGACAGTAACTACACTTTACAGTAAGTAATGCAAAGCGCTTTGAGACGTCCTCCTGACGTGAAAGGCCCCGTATCAAATGCAAGCATTGTTGCTGTGACTAATTTACACATACTCCTGCTGATCGATGAAGCTCTGTGAGAGCGGGAGGGGACGTCTCTGAGGAGGTCGGTTTTCAGTTTCATTGGGAATTGCAGCATCGGAAACACCCCCAAGGTCACAGCCTCTGGCTAGGCACACGCCTGGAGTGCCCATGGGTCCCTGATGCCCTCTTAAGCCGTGCTGCCCTCTATGGCCACGCGGGCCATGCTGGCCTGGTTGTCCAGGTATACTCGATCCTTTTCTCCCACGTTCACCTATACAGTTCAAACAACAGCATTTCTGGTTTTAGATCCATAGAAATTTAATGCAGCGAAGAAAGTTATTTGGCCCATCGACTATTGTGTCCGTGTGTTGTATGTTCATAGCTCAATTATTTAAATGAAATGAATCTATTTCTAATTCTTTTGCTTGGGCCACATATGTATAGGAAATAATTGCTCAATAACTAACCTCTAAAAGCTACAGTCGTCTCATCTATAAAAACATTTTCTAATACTGTGCTGAAGAAGAGTGATTATTTTGGGGGGGGGTTTCTAGGTTAACCAGGTGTCTGACACACCCGGGAACCCATTACCATGTCAAACCAGACTGAGAGTTCCACATATGCTTGGAAATTTCCATTTGGATCATCAAGAGCATAAGATCTCTCCCCAGAGGGAGGCACCCAGTTTGTTTAATGCCGACATGTATGAGGTCCAGGTAAGAAAGAGCCATGCCTCGGGGACCCCAGAATGTGCATAGCTATTTGATGACCAATGCTGTGTCCTATTAAGTTCTATCGGACGTTTAAAGAGCCACAGAAAGTCTCTTTGGAAACATAACAGTTAGTGGTTTTGAGTAATTCCTATACCTTTGTGACAGATATGCCTTACCTCTTGCTCCTTGTTCTCCTATAAAACCAGGCAGGCCAACACCACGAGAACCTTTATCACCTCTAACTCCTTCTTCACCTGAAATGAGAAACACAGAGATGATCTCAGACATCTTTTCTACTAACTGTTTTGATATGAGTTTTTCTCGGGGAACAGAACGAATTGAATCCATTTAGCTGTCAATCTGGTTCAGTTGGCAGCACTCTCGCCCCTGAGTCAGGTTCAAGCTTGACAGTCCAGGATGATACTCCAATTTAGTGCTGGGGAGCACTGTATTGTTGGATGTACTGTCCTTCAGTCGAGACAACCCAGGTGGAAGGATCCAATGGCACTATTCAAAAGGAGAATAATTCTGGCCAATAATCCCCCAAAAAGCAGGTCAATCATTTTATGGTTGTCTGTGGGACACTGATACGTGCAAATTGGCTGCCACATTTACCCACTCAATACACAGTGAAGCGCTTTGAGACAATCTCCAGATATGTAAGGTGCTATATCAAATGCAAGGAATATTGTTAATATCCAAAAGTATTGTTCTGGATTCACTTTCTCAAACCCTTTTAAAATCTTGTTTACCTCCACGTTAATGCTAATGATCTTTGCATTTGATATAGCGCCTTTCATGTCTGGAGAATGTCTCAAAGCACTTCACAGGTATTTACTTCAAAATGTAGTGACTGTGCATTTTTTTGGAGACAAACTTTCCTAATCAAGATTACCAAATAAGGCAAGCGGGCACTATATCTCACCACACCATTAATCTACAAAGAATAGGATTTATTTTATAACTGGCACTGCACACACCTTTAGGTCCATCGGTTCCTGGGTCACCTACTTCTCCGTAGAATCCTTCCAGACCTTGTTCACCATCTTGCCCATTGATTCCCGGGTTACCCTTCAAAACACAATGTTAGCGCTCTCACTTTGAGTCTCGCTTGTAAAAAAAAATGGATTTAACAGAAAAAAGTGCTATTTCAGAAAAGTTATATCAAAAATAACAAAACATAAAAATTGTGTTAACACTTCACAGGCCTGAAATTCCAACTGGTCTTCACCTTTGAGTCCATTTTGCCTTAATAACAACAATAATAATCCTTGGATTTGATATAGCACCTCATCATGTCGTTGAGACGTCTCAAAGTACTTCAAAGGATATGCTGTAAATGCCCACTGTGCTTCTTTTGTGGTCAAAACATGGCAGCCAATTGCACACAATTAGCAATTAATTTAAAATATAAGACAGGGCAAGATTGTGGATACTCTTAAATTTAGCCTTAATATAGAAGCCAGTTTTCTGCAGTTCTGAAGAAGAACTGGCTTCCATATCAACAGCAAATTTTCTATAATTCTTCTTGATCTTGAATTCTAAAATTTCTAAGATGTTTAAGGGTGGGGACATTGTTTATTTACAAAGAACTGACAGCATGGAAACAGGCCACTCAACCCAACTAGTCAATGCTGGTGTTCATGCTCCACATGAGTCTTCACCCATTCCTTACTCCCTCCCATACTCTTCTAAACATGACCGAGACTGGAATAGAAGGGTATTGGAGAGGGGAATATGAGTGGGACCTCATGTGAAGTATAAACACTGACATGGATGAATTGGGCCCAATTTTTATTTTGGTCAGCCTTAGATTCTCCATAAGCGATTTATTTATCACACTGAATCTTTTGTGAATTGTTGCAAAATTCACCCCATTTGGTGAGCTAAGTTCATGAGAGAAACTAATGCACAAATAATAAGGGGGTGGGAGAAGGACAAGGGAGAGAGGAATGGATTAGACCCAATATACTGGGATGGAAAATTGGAAGAAAAACTGAAAAAGAAATCAAAATCCAAAGAATTCCAAAGTATCTGGATGTCTTGGAAATATCACCAGATGAGGAAGTATCTCAGTTGCAAATAGGGTTGACAGTAATCTGACTTGTAAAAACATAAGCAAACTGCTATCCAGATTTTTAATGCTCAATTTTCATGTAGCTTCAGTCTTGTAGAAACATAGGAACTTTGCAAAACAGGAACAGGAGAAGGCCATTCAGCCCATCGAGCCTGTTCGATCTTGGTAGATCTTTCAATCCCATTTTCCCTGCCCTTTCACCATAATCCTTAATAGCTTTGCTAGCTAACTACAGTATGTGTTTGTCTCTCTTTTATTCACCTCTATTGATGGCTTCTGCATTTTTCTGGGGGCAGAGTTGTCACTTCTATGTAAAGAAAAAATGCTTCCTGACCTCAGTTCTAACCTACTTGTTCTGCTTTTAAAACAATGTAATGTATCCTTCTACTGGAGAGAAAAGTTGTCCACTATCTCACTTGTTAGTTCCTTTCATTATTGTAAATACCTCAGTTAAATCATCCTTTAATCTCCTCTGCTCTAAGGAACATAACCCAAGTCTATCCGATTAAGCCCCTTGAGCTCAGGTATTAATTAAGTCAAATAGTCACTGGACACCCTCCAAAGCCAGTGTGTCATTCCTAAGATTGTATGCCCAAACAGAACACAGTACTCCAAATATGGTCTGTTCAACACTCTATATAACTGGAAAAGCAGCTCCTAACCATTAGATTCCAGACCTCTGTAATAAATCCCATCTGCACACTCAACACCTAAACCCATGTTCCTCTTTAAACTGTTGAGGTACTTGCTGTGTATTTTCAAGTTGGATTTCCAGTTGCCAGTAATCAGTTGCCAGTAATCACAGCTATTTTCCTCGACTACTGGCACTGGAATTCTTAGAGCTGTCACAGTAATTTATAGCAACATCAATGTCCCATGTGTGTAAATAACCCACCCTCCCTGCCAGTAATGTGTACATGAGCTGAAAGTACAGACAACCTCTTAAAATTGGACCCGGGCCAATTCAGATGAATTTTGGAAAATAAAAGACAGAGAGAGTGAGAGACAATGAGGCAGAAAGGAAATGAGAGAGCAAGATAGAGAACCAAAGAGAGAACATGAGAGAGAGAGAATGAGAGAGGATAGAAGAGAAGAGAGAATCTGAAAGAGAGAAAAAGAGAGAAAGAAAAAGAAAAAGAAAAAGCAAGACGGAAGCTGGTACAATGGTATACTATAGTGATAGTAAAACCCCTGATGGCTGCCAATTGCGGAGCGGAGGGGATGAGGGACGTACAGAAGATCTGAGCCAGCTGAGCGAAGGCAACAGATAGAGGAGTGGGGTGTGAACGGATCAGAAAGGTAGGGAGGTGCCAGGGTGTGAAGAGATTTCAAAGTGAGATTGAGGATCTTGAAATTGATCTGATCTGAACATGTTATGAAACATTGCATCCACATGTTCCTAGGTTGAAAACAAGGGGAATATTACCTTTAACGTGCATTTGTAACAAGGAGAAACCCAGCAACCACTGAAGGTACAAATATATTTCTTGAAAAACACTCAAGCCATACATCTCAAGATGCACCTCTTTGACCATGTTTACAGTCATCTTTCCCCTATCCTTCCTCCCTGGCTCCTACGCCTAGCTCGGGTATTCAGCCAGCAGTGTTAAGATTTCTGAGACAGATCTCCTGACGTGAAAGATGCTATATAAATGTACATTGTATTATATTGTAACACAGGAGATGCATTACAGAAGAAAAGTCATGTTTTCAAATTTCAAAGTGTAAATCTAATTCAATTCCAGTCAGGGGCCTGAGTCTATATAGTACAGTATGTTTGGAAGTCTGCAATGTGAGACAAAGGTTCGACAAATGCCATCTATTGGCACACTTCCCCACATAGCAAATTCCTGTAGAATTTGTTCATGCTCTCCTCAGTTAACGCCGCCAAAGACTCAGCATTGGAGGGTCAATTTCTGTGATACTGTATTTCCAAAAGGAATTTCTTAATTAATAAAAAACAGTCAGGGTTTCCCATCGGAAGGATGTCATGCACGGCATGGTAACAGATTGAGTTAGAGTGTTCCTGCAAGCTGGCATTATGGAACACCTGATTCTTTAATTAAGAAATTGTACAATATTGACTCCCTCCTTCCCCGACCCCCTCAAGTTTCATAGATGGAAGTCATGGTTGCAGTTGCCTACAATGTTGTACAATGCAAGTTGTTACGGTCTTGGAATGCAAGGGTGGTGGAAGCAGATTTGAAAATAGCTTTCAAAAGGGAATTGGATAGATACTTGAAAAGAAAAATATTGCAGGGCTATGGGGTAAGAGCAGAGGAGCGGGACTAGTTGGATAGCTCTTTCAAAGAACTGGCACAAGCCCGATGGGCCGAATGGTCTCCTTTTGTGCTGTAAGATTCTGTAGTAACGTGTGGTGTGTTGTGGACAGACAAACAGCTTACTCACAGGTACTCCACGCATCCCATTCTCTCCGACAGGTCCAGGAGGTCCCATTGGAACATCCCCGTAAAGCGGACAAGCTTTGGTGCATTTCCTTCTCACAATATTCGTGAACATCGACATCTGTTCAAGAATAAGTTTCTTGCAGACCTCAATCACATGACTGGCTGCCAAAATTGGACCCTGAAAGATACACAAATGAATGGAGAGTATAACCTATAAATAATTTAAACTTTAATAGGAGTCCCATAGCGTAGTGGTTAGGGCGCTTGCCTCGCAAGCGAGAGGATCTGGGTTCAGTTCCTGGGTGGGGCAATACCTTAGGCAAGTTTCCTTACTCCACACACCTATGTTTGCCTAGCAGTAAGTAAGAACCTGGTTGCTCGTCAATTGGTGGATCCCTTTCCGGGAGTAATAATTCCTCCAAAAAAAAGTTATTTGGTCACTCAATCCACGACTGTTTGTGGGACACTGCTGGGAGCTGTGTTTCACCCACAAAATACACAATCAATTCACTTTGAAATATATCCTGTGAAGCACTTTGAGGCATCTAAACAATGTGATTAGGCGCTATATCAAATGGATTATTATTATTGTGAACATCCCCCCAGTCCCGCACTGCAATGTTATTACTATCTAGCCCCCCCACCCCCACCACCACCACCCACATGATCATGTTATACTGACTGGACCCTCTCCTCCACCAACCATGGTATTTTTGATATAAAGTTCCCTCTACCACATATATGCCGTGTAATGTACCGTAGAACCTGGTATTGCACTTGTTGCCTGCTGTGCAAGCTTACATGGACTGTATAACAAACACACATTCTAGGATTGACCAAAGTTGGCAAACGCAGTTGGATTCTTTTTTGGTTCAAAAGACATAAAGACACAAAACTCCACCTCGCCTTCACCTGTGAGATAGGTTTGTGGGAAACTCTTGAATCCAGGAAGCTGCTTTTCCACAACAACAACAACAACATGCACTTATATAACGCCCTCCACGCAGGGTAGCGTCTCATAGCACTTAACAGTGGCGGGGCCTGACTCCAAGCCGGGGGGAGGGGGAGATGGCCGCAAGTACGGTCGAACAGGAAAGTCTTCAGGCGGGACTTGAAAGAGGGGAGAGGGGATGCAAGGCGGAGGGATTGAGGGAGAGTGTTCCAGAGTTTTGGGGCGTCAGTGGCTGAAAGCACAACTTCCGATGGTGGGGTGGAGGGTGCGAGAGATGAGCAGGAAGCTGGTGCCAATCGAGCAGAGGTGCCGGGTGGTGGATTGGGAAGTGTGGAGGTCGGAGAGGTAGGAAGATGCCAGGGAGTGAATGGATTTGAACACAAGAGTGAGGACTCACAGATTTTAGGCTATTTTCTGCAGCTTTTAAAAAGAAACCGGATTGAATTTTAAGGTGTTTCCAGGTCAATTAGAACCTTTAAGGGGGAGGTAGATGAATATTTGGTGGACACTATTATCTATCCTCCTTGGTGTGGGCATGGGGGAGCTAAGAAGAGGTAAATTGGTCTCCTTGAAGATAAACTCCAAGGTAACATGCTTCACAACTGAGTAGCAGAATTGAGTCAATCATCTGTGGGAGTCTCAGTAGCCCGGATTCTGAACCAGGCAGGTCCCCAGTACTCTAAGGCTCCTGCTGATGATAGACCAGCCAGCCTGGCTCACTGGTGGGACATGGAGAGCCAGACTGATCACTGGGAGCAGGGAGTCTTCTCACTCAGATCCAGTTAATCCTGCAAGCCAAATCTCTAATGGCGAGGGTGGTCCAAGCACATAGATAAGCAGCGGGAAAGCTTGCCAGATAGTGCTATCAATGGCAAGCTATGTGATTTTAGCTGGTTAGACTCAGTACCCCTAAGCACACTCTGGGGTCCCCAAACTCTTGCCTCTCGCCAACCTGCGCCTAATATTCTCTGGAGTTTAGTAAGCAGAATACATCCCTCCAGGAAGAGAGTGTGCATTCCATACTAAACATAGGGAAATTTCCTCATGTAGGTGGTATACATTTGTGAAACACTTGATCTGGATACTCTTTAAGTGTGGTGATGCATCGGACACTTGGCTGACCAAATAAATAATAAGGGATATGGTGAAAGGGCAGGAAAATAGAATTAAGTTACAAATCAGCCATTATCTAATAAAATGCTTGATGGGCTGAATGATTTGCTCCTCTTCCTATGTTCTTACAGGTGAAGACTAGGCAACATTTCAGACCTACAAATGATTTATTCTGCCAACATCTCGTTTTATAGAAATATCCCTTTTTATTTTTCCCAGGTTCGATTCCCAGACTAGTTTCCTTACTCCACACACCTCTGTTTACCTAGCAGTAAGTAGGAACCTGGTTGTTAGTCGATTGGCAGATCACTTTCCAGGTGAGGGGTAATAATCCCTTCAAAAAAAAAAATAATTTGGTCACTCAATCCCCGACTGTTTGTGGGATACTGCTGTGCACAATTGTATTTCGCCCCCAAAATATACAGTCAATTCACTTTATGGTATATTCTGCAAAGCACTTTGAGACGTCTCGATGGTGTGATTAGGTGCTATATCAAATGCAAGGATTATATATATATATATTTTACTAACCGGAGGTCCAGCTGGTCCCCGGTACCCGGCAGGCCCGACATCACCAGTCACACCCCTCTCTCCAAGCGGCCCCCGGTTGCCTGTTTCCCCCGGAGTGCCTCTGTTGCCCTTATGTCCCAATGGGCCATGTTGTCCCAGGTCACCAGGCTGGAAATCAAACCACAAACAAAAAACATTTGAGCAACTTGAACTTTGAAAATAAAAAATAATTGGCAACTTCGGTGCCATCCTGGCTCAGTTGGTAGCACACTCGCCTCTGAGTCTGAACTTTGAGGGTTCAAGCCCCATGTTGGGACTTTGACCTCACAGGCTGACACTCTAATACAACGCTGAGGGGACCCTGCATTGCACCAGGAGCCGTCCTTTGGATGTGACGTTAAACTGATGTCCTACCTGCCGACTCAAGTTAACTCTAAAAATTCTATAGTACTATTTAATAACATACAGTGCAATATAAATTTTAAATTTATGTAGCGCCTTTCACATTGGAAAGACATCTCAAGGTACTTAACAGATAAATCAGTCTGCTGTCCCGGGATACTGGCCAGCAATCCCTCAGATAAAATTGGTCGTTCACTTCGGGATGTTTGTGGGACATTGTTGTACACAAATCCGCTGTCTTGCTTATCTACAAAATACAGCCACTGGAGTATACAGAAAATGCTATGAAGTGCTTTGAGATGCCCTCCAGACATGCAAAGAGCTTTATCAAATGCAAAGAATATTTATTTCTGTATTGATTCAGCAGACTCTGGACTGCTCCACATCTACCCCATCATCGTCGGTCAGGCCTTCAAACTTTCTGCCCCCACCCTTTGGAACTCTATCCCACAGTCCCTTCGCCTTACGCCCTCCCTTGCCTCCTTCAAGACTCTTCTCAAGACCCTCCTCTTCGACCACGCCTGCAGCCCCCCTCCTACCCCTACCCTCCTTGCCCTGTACCCCTCCTGATCTCAACACCCAGTTCAGGTGCGAATCCTTCACTGTTCAGCACTTTGGGACATCCTTTCAATATGAAAGGTGCTATATATTTGTTGTTGTTGTATGTATTTATGTATTACTTAAGACAGTGTGACAGAATTCCTTTACTTACTTCTCCCTTTGGCCCCTTGGATCCTTTTTCACCCTTTAACCAAAGAAAGATTGAGAAAGGTCAGTGATCTGTAAACCAACAATACCACGCCATCTGCAACTGGATTTGGAAAGCACCATTCACACATTACCTTTTGTCCTTCACGGCCCTGAGCTCCCTCGGAGCCTGGTTTACCCTGACAAGATAAGAAGGTATATCGCTTAACATTCAGTTCATCATCCTCAGTGAATTGAACTGCCTTTGTTTCAGTGACAGCATAGTTCAATTCAACAAATCTTTCACCTAATGAAAGCCAAGTTATTAGGATAATTATGCAACAGCTCATAACACATTTCCTTCTCTCCTTCTTTCTGTTCTCCCGCCCAGTTCTTATCCCATGGCCTTGACAAAATGATTAAGCTCTGTGGTCTCTTCCATTGCCTGCCCACCCCCCAACCCCTGATTGTCAAGATCAATATTTGAATGCCGCTAAAATAAGATACTAACTTACCTTAATTGGAATTGTGTGAACTATCGTTTAAAATCTGTCTCTGGGATTGAAAATAGAAATCAAATCTCTTACAAAATATCGTATTTTTCATCCCCAGTAACCATTTATCACATTTACCACACAGAGAGTTGTTAGCATTTGGGATGCCATGGCAAATAAGGTGGTAGAAGCAGAGGCCATTGTGGGTTTTAAGAGGTGAAGTAGACCGGTATATGAAGGATAAAGTTTTGAAGGGAATCGGGGAAAAGGCAGAACCCTAGGATTGTTGAAACAGCTTGCTCTGAGAGCCGGTGCAGACTCAATGGGCCAAATGGCCTCCTCTGTGCTGTAAATCTTTATGACTTTGAGGTTTTGATTAGAAGCAAAGGATAGGCCGATCTTAAAATACTGATAATTTTGATGTAAATCACAAGTTAAAGTTAGAGCAAGAACAGTCTTTCACTTTTATAATCTTGTTAGTCAATTGGCAGATCGCTTTTCAAGGCTAATAAGCCCTTCACAAAAAAAATTAAAACAAAATAAAAATGTGGTCAATCAATCCACGACTGTTTGTGGGACATTGCTGTGCACAATTGGCTGCTGTGTTTTGCCCACAAAATATACAGTCAATTCACTTTACAGTCTATTCTGTGAAGCCCTTTCTGACGCGTCTAGAAGACGTGAAAAACGCTGTATCAAATGCAAGGATTATTATTATTATTATTAAACTGATGTAACTGGCTCAATGAGCTAAATGGCCTCCTCCGATCCCCTATTTTCCTCATCCTTTAAGACAAATGAAATCAGCACCTTAGATCCTTTTACTCCTGGATCGCCTTCATGACCCTGCGGTAAAAAGGAGATTTTAAATTAAGCAGATGTGTAATGGAAGATTTTAAAGTAAAATAGTAAGTAATGGTGCCAAAGGTTTGAAATTGCAGTAACACTTACTTGAATTCCAGGATTTCCAAAAAAACCTGGTCTCGCAGGGATTCCTGTATCACCCTTTTGGCCCTTTTGGCCCTGTAATAACAGTGACAACTTGCATTTATATACCGCCCTTCACACGGAACAGTATCCTGGAGAACTTCACAGTGGCGGAGTCTGACAACGAGCCAAGGGGAGAGGGAGCGGGGAGGTGACCATAAGCACGATCAAAAAGGGAGGTCTTTAGGGTGGATTTGACGGGGGGAATAATATATTGAGAGGAAAATCTTCCCAGTAAAGTTGCTTTCATCCAATTTGGAAAAACGCGATCAAAATAAATTCCCTTAATTAAAGAACATTGTTAAAATGTGCTTTGAAGTTGTTCTCTCTCTCCACCCCCTCCCCTCCCCCCCCAATGAGTTAAGTTGTTACTCGTTTAAGCAGCGTTTATCTTGCATCCTTTGATAGAGGGTAATTGCTTTGAAACATCCTCCCAATGCGAGAGGCGCTGTATCAGATGCAAGGATTCCTTTCTTTTTTGCTTGTTATTACTCACCGTTTTTCCCATCGGACCTTCGAGGCCTCGATGTCCTGGATACCCTTTCTCTCCCTTAAAAAAAGAAAAAGGAAAAACTATAAATAATTCAATTCCGTGACCCTCAAAATTAGTTTGATAATTGAAACGAAAATGTCCCATTAACCTTCGGTCCAACGGAGCCCTGTCTTCCCTTCTGCCCCTGTTTTCCTTGATACGCCTGAAAATAACAATTAAGTGTTATTGAGTGTAAACGGCTTATGTCTTCATATATACCTTCATATTAGATAATTATTTGGGGAGGAGAAGCTAGCAAGGCTACGGGGAGAGGGCGGGGGAGTGGGATTGAATTAGATAACTCTTTTCAAAGAGTCGGCACAGACACAATGGGCCAAATGGCCTCCTTCTGTGCTATATAATTCTATGATTCTATAAGGACAAGAAGAGTTTCTTGCTGGGTGGACAAACCGGTGGCCCGTGGGCCGATTTCATCTACCCAACCCCCCTCCATTTAATCTTGCTCTTCTGCTCCCCCCATAACCTGTCGGTCCAACTTGCTTAATGTATTTCCCCGAGCGTACCTCTATTCCCGGAATTCCATCTCTCCCAGGCTGACCTGGGTCGCCAACCGTACCCTGTAAACGAAACACACGTGCTGTAAACAACAGGAAGCATCAAAACTTTAAAGGACGTGTGCGGCACCAGCTTCACTTAGTTGGTAGCACTTTTTTCACCTCTGACTCAGAATATTGGGGGTTCAAAGCCTCATGTTAAGGCTTTTACGCAATGTCAATCCTGACATGCCAGTGCAGTAATAGGGAAGGGATTGGTACTGTCCTTTGGATATGATCTTAAAATAGAGGTTTCATCTGCTACTACTTGGGTGGATGTTAAAGATCCCATAGCAATTTCGTAAAGACAAGGATGTTCTGTCCATTAATTGGTCATTCACTCCATGACAGTTTGTGGGTCATTGCCATGGGCAAATGGCTGTCTCTTTCACCTACATGTAAAGGCTGATCTCAGTTTAGTGGATCTGCTTATAACTTGGGTGTACAGTGGACCCATGATACACTGGAAGCAACTTCCTGTGCTGAGTGGCAAGCATCCCTGTGCCCTTGTGCAGCACGTAGGAAGTGATGCTCACTTGTGGCCATTTTTTAGTGCACTACGTTATATCACTGAGTTGATAGACCCAAACGTCCAGGTTATAGCAAAGTGTCCCTGTACTCAGTCACCATACTGTACCTGTGAAGCTCTTTTTGACATGATAGTGTTAGAGCAAATGCAAGGATTATTATTATTATAAAGAGTCAGATTGTATCTTGTACCTTTGGTCCTGTATCTCCTTTGTTCCCAGAGAACCCTGGAAGACCCTATTGGAAGAAAATGGAATTTTGTTCATTTGGAAATTAAACAGAGTTTATAGATAACTTCAAATCACTGACCCCATATTCCAAATATGGGACCCAATTACCTCTTCTCATTTAATGTATTATATATAATTTATATCATAGTTTAAGGTGCACAGCTCTACCATAATTGACAGGTGGTGATTACAATGGAGCTGTATAAAGTATTTGTATCAGCAGTAATTCAATCATTGGGGAGTAATCCCATCAATAGACCCAGACAAGCCCCTTTTCATACTCAAAAATTATCCTTGCGTATCAGGAATCTGGGAATAGTAGCACTGAGAGAGAGGTGGATATTGTGGGCAGTTTCAAAAGGAAATTGGGTAGTATTTTTCTGGTGAAGGGTTGGGGGAGGTAAGAGATAAGGAAAGATGTTCTTTGTAAATGAAGATTATAGTGTTAATATTTCCTACACATTGGAATTTCCCTGACTCTGGAATGGTGTGTGCACTCTCCATGGAGGGACACATCCTACTTACCTAATTCTGGAAAGTATTAGGCACAGGTTGGCAAGAGCTAAGGCTTGGGGGTCCCTGAGTTTGCTTTGCAGTAGTACTGGGGTTTAACCAGCTAAAACCACATATCTTACCATTGTGAGCAGTGTCTAGCAAGCTTCCCGCTGCTTGTCCAGCTAGGACAACCCTACCCATTCAGAGTTTTGACTTGCAGGCTTAACAGGAGCTGAGTGGGAAGAATCCCTGCTCACAATGGTGAAGGGAATGAAAGGCGAGCAGCACAGGAAGAAGAAAAAGGAGAGATGGTGTTTAAAAATGAACCAGCCAGGCAATTATTTTTCCCTGCACATTCCAGTTTCCTATGTTTAAAGGTCTGCATGTTATCAGAAACAACACATGAGTTTGGTGTTGAAGGCCCATCAGGATGTAAAATGTGTTTCCTGCATAGAACAACAACAACACAACAACACAACAACAACAACAAATGTTACATTTATAGAACACCTTTCACATCAGGAGGACGTCCCAAAGAACCCAATGAGGTCAAATAGTTTCATGACTTCTCAGATCTGTTCCATCTTTACAGACAATGAAATTGGCAGGTGGGCAGAAGGGCTGTTAAGATGGTTTGAAGGTGCACTCAGGTGGAGGGTAGCAAAGAGAGTTTTATTCTGATTTCTAATCTGTGGTGTAGATAATAATAACAAATGACAACAGAAAATTGCATTTATATAGCTCCTTTCATGTCGGAAGGACGTCCCAAGGCACTGGACAGTGAAGGCAATTGCAGCCAAGCTGGGGGCTGAGTTGGAGAGCAGGGGCAGGGGTGGAAGTGGGAAGATAATTGAAGGCACGGTCAACGAGGAAGGTCTTGAGACAGACGGGCCTTGAAGTATACAAGGTAGGGGCTGAGGTGGAGGGGCTCTGGGATGGAGTCCCAGAGGGTGGAGGCAGAATGGCTGAAGGTCAAACCTCCAATGGTGAAGAGGGCAGGGCGGCAGTCAATGCCTTCCTAGCGGAGGGAGCGGACAGGTTGGTAAAGTTTTAGTAGGTCAGAGAGGTAGTGAGAAGCAACACTATGCTTCAAAGTCCTTGGGCATGGGAGCCTTTCATACTCTCAACAAATTCAAGGAGCAGAAAGGTTTGCCTCTCCCCAGCAGTGATATTCATCATCTCCATGACCAGCAGATCCATCAAAAATATTTCAGTGGTTTACATGATGGATTGCAGAACGTGACTCACAGGTTTTCCCTTTGTGCCCTGGTAACCCTGCAATCCTGGATCGCCCACAAGACCCTGCAAAGAAACATTTCAACTCAAGTTGTTTATAAAGGATTTATTTCGAACGGACAATCAAAAACACCATAAAAAACACATGAGCCTCAATATGTGTGTGTGTGTGTGAGTGAGTGTGTGAGTGTGTGTGTGTGTGTGTGAGTGTGTATGTATAGATACATATACGGTCTTAATAACTTATATTTATGTTGAGTTGTTCATGTAGGATACCTCTCAGAAAACTTTACAATAATGGGTCAGAACCAAGGAAGGGAAAAAGGAGAGGGGGAGGTAGTAGAAGTGATAATAATAATAATAATAATAATAATAATAATAATAATAATAATAATAATAATAATAATAATAATAATAATAATAATAATAATAATAATAATAATAATAATAATAATAATAATAATAATCCTTGCATTTGATATAGCGCTTTTCACGTCGGGAGGACGTCCCAAAGCGCTTCACAGAACACACTGTAAAGTGAATTGACTGTATATTTGTGGGCGAACGCAGCAGCCAATTGCGCACAGCAATGTCCCACAAACAGTCATAGATTGAAAATGACCAATTTATTATTGTTTTTTGTTTTGGAGGGATTATTATTAGACTCTGTGTGGAGTAAGGAAACTTGTCCAAGGTTTCGCCCTGACCTGCCTGGAATTGAACTCTGGTCTCTCGCTTGCAAAGCGAGTGCTCTAACCACTGAGCTACAGGACTCCACGATGTATTAACAAAATACACAGTCACCAATCTACAGTAAAGGTGTTTCCTTAGATCAGAAATGCAAAGGCGGAATTTTTACGCCATCTAGAATAATCCTTACAAGCCTTTCACCTGAGGAGGACATATGTCAAAACTCCTTGCAGGATTTACAGTACAGTGGAGTGACTGTGTGTTTGTGTGGGTGAGAATCTACTGTTAAGTGATGTGACCAAGACACAGTTATTATATAATGTCTTGTGGATGTTTTGAGTCGAAACAGGACATTTTTGAGGTTTATTTAAGAAGCTTAAAGTAATTCATAATAAATGCTCTCCATTCACCTCAGTGACATTTTAATGTGAGCATTATCATTGCTTAATGTAATCCGTTCTAATGTTTGTTTTGTTATTATTCTTTGTTCCTCTTTGCTCCTTCAAAGTTTATCACATAGAAATATTAAAATAAAAAAATTGCACAAGAATGGGGCAGCCCCAATGTGCGGTGAATGGAGCTGTAGTTTACAGACCAGCTGGAGCTTGTTGGATTGAATTGAATCCCAGTCGCTGCTGAGTTCGCTGGTCTCAAGAGGTTAAATCAGCCCTAGCCTTGCTGGGGTCAGAGGGGGGCAAAATCAGCTGTGTTTTCTGCGCCTTGTCCCCTCCAGCACCCTCTACTGATAAAGCACATTTATGGCAGAGAGGTGGGAAGAAATCAGAGCTGTGATACCCTCTACAGTCGAGTGGTCTGCCGACACTCACTGGCAAGGCTCACACATGAACAATAAGCACGAGAGGGCAACCAGAGCCTGTGGAACCACCCTCCAGACAGAGAAGGGCCAGGAACCTGGAGCAGAGGCACTTACCAATGAGGGGGAAACATTCGAAAAATAAATGAACGCAAAAAACATTTAAAAACACACGAAAAACATGCAAAACAAAAGACAGAATTACCCTGGTTCCTGGTGGGCCTTGGTCGCCTTTGACACCATGGAACCCCTCGTCACCCTGAAAAATTGTACAAAGGTCATAGAGTATAATAATAATAATAATCCTTGCATTTGTTATAGATCCTTATCACGTAATTGAGACGACTCCAAGTGCTTCGTAGAATATATTATAAATTGAGTTGACTGTATATTTTGTGTGTCAAACGCGGCAGCCAATTGCGCACAGCAGGGGAAAAAATTATTCTATGTAATAATATAATCAGACAGGCAAAGTGACATTTACTAGGAATGTTACCAGGGCTGATTGGACACAGCTACCAAAGAAAGGGATATTTGTAATTATAAATAATTCTCCTTACCTTTATTCCTGGAAATCCCCAAATGCCTTCTTGTCCCACGATGCCTCTAGCTCCCTGAGGAGGTGAACAGGAATACAATAAACAGCAAAGTTACTCCTATATGACAGGATTATTTTAATGGTAATATCCAGATACTGCTTGTGAGTGACTGTCACCATTTTTATAGTGTCTGCTTTCAGCTTATCGAATTCTCTCAGTTACTATCTATTTCGCTTTGCTCAAAATAACTTCTCTTTGAGGTTGTACAATGTGCATTGACTTCACATAGATACAAATACTAAATAGAAAACTAGGATACATTATGTTGTCTCTTCCTTCTGAGGAGAGCATATCAATAATCCTTCAGGCGGTAGTATTGTCCTAAATCATTGCTGCTGATGAATTGTAAATTCTTTAATCAACAAGAGAGATAGTCAAGAGCCTTCAATATTGAGAGGTTGTAGTTACAGGAAACTCAAAAAGTTGGAAAGCAACAGCAACAAGTTGCTTTTATAATATCCAATTCTCTTTTCAAATATTCCTATCCTCCTTAATGGGGGAGGCAAGCAGGGCTCTTTAGTGTTGACTTGGTTCCCAAGTGACATGTCTGGCAATGAAATACCTCCTTTGTGGCAGTCTTAGTAATCTGATTTCCAAACCTGGGAACATAAACCATAAGTCCACAGATCTCTAAGGCATTGTTGATGACAGACCAGTTGGCCTGCCTCAATGGCACTAATGGCAGAGATTATTCCCTCTCGGCTCCTGTTATCCCTGCAATCCAAAGCCCTAATGGATAGAGTGGTCCTACCTGGCCAAGCAATGGGAAGCTTCTCAGACAGTATTTTGAATGGCAATTTATGATGTTTTAGCTAAATTCCAGCAGTACTGCTACACACCCTGGGGTCTTCAAGCCTGTGTTACCAGGAAGCGTATCTGAGGTCAGGACGCAGGATTTATTGAAGAAACAGCTTGATGTTATATAGGGACTACAGTAGCATGGATATTCCAAAAGGATGAAAACAAATTGGCTGAATGTTGAAGTTGAATGTTCTTCATCTGAACATCTATTGCAAACTTGCAATAAATTGTTATATCTAGATAAAATTTGTGGTGTCGCATAACGCATCTCTTATGATAAATTCCAGATGGTTATGCAAACTGGTACAGCGCTATGTTTATTTATAATTCTTGTTATCTAATACATACCTTTTCACCTTTTGGCCCTACTTCTCCTCTTGCTCCAGGTTCTCCCAACACTCCCTGAAACAAAGCAGTCGCTTCTGAGAAAATTGAAAGCAGTTTGTTTGTCCTTTCTCTCTGACCTCTGATAATCCTTGCATTTTGATATATGGCCTTATCACGGCGTCGAGACATCTCAAAGCACGTCACAAAATTGACTGTAAAGTGAATCGACTTTGTATTTTGTGGGTGGATGTAGCAGCCAGTTGCTCACAGCAGTGAACCACAAACACAGTTGTGGATTGAGTGAACAAATGTAGTATTAGAGTGTGATACAGTGGTACAGCCTAGACTGTGAGCTCATGGAGATTGAACCCACAACCTTCTGTCTCCCCGAGGTCAGAGTGCTATGAGAGTGCTACAAAATAAGCAAGTTTGACACATTAATAATTCACTGACTGATACACAGGATGGAGTGCAATAACCTGCCCTGTATTATAGCACAGTGCATTTTATGGATTCCACCACCCCCCACCCCGACCCCACTGCAATCAAAGATTACATTATAACAAGACTTTACTGTATAAACTCACCTTAAACCCCACACCTCCTTGAAATCCCTTGTATCCTTTAGGACCTGGTACACCCTGACAGGAAAGAGCAAATGCATTTGCTTGAATGTGGAATAAATCTATTCCTGGGAATCGTTTAGAAAATAAATGATTGACACGATGAGGTGTAAAATACGATACCTGGGACAGATTCACAAACAAACAGCATTATCAACTATAGGGATATGGGAAGCCAGCACAGACACGGTGGAACTCTTCTGTTGCTATATGTACATTTCTAGGTTTTTTGGTTCCTGACAGTATCAGAAATGTGTCACCCTACCTATGGGTCCCCGCTCCAGATTGGTTCAACAATAACAGGAGCAACAGCGATTTATATTTCGACAGCGTCCCTTCACATGAAAATCAACATGCCAAAGCGTAAGATGAAAGAGAACTGATCAGAAATTAGGTGAATATGGTCAACATTCAACTAGTCTGCACCAGCAACAACCCGTGAATGGCAATGAAATGAGCAACTCAATTTGGCAATATATTTATGAATCAGGAGAGGAATATAACCAAGTTGCAGTAGAATTCCAGTGGGTCAGAACACTGCATATTTTCTTACTGGAATTACTTGCAAATTTGTTTCTGAGTGTAGCACAATAAACCCCACTGTGCGTTAACATTTGTTAGCCATGACTATGCTTAAGAGGATCAAACTGTCCAAACCAGACTGAGAGTTTCACCTATGTTTGCTACTTATCCAAGAAAATGTCACTGTTTGGAAGGGAATGTGCACTCTCTCCTTGAAGGGACACATCTTATTTATCAAATTCCAGAGCGCATTTGACATAGGTTAGGAAGAGCCAAGACTTGAGAGTCCCAAAGTGTGCATTGGGATTACTACTGGAGTCTAACCAGCTAAAACTGCATAGCTTGCCAATGAGAGCACTGTCTGGCAAGCTTTCCACTGCTTGTCCAACTGGGACCACCCTACCTGTTAAGGCTTTGGCTTCTGGGAGAGATTAACTGGAGCAGAGAGGGGAAAAATCCCTGCCCCCAGTGACTGGTCTGCTCATCAAAGTACTGCTGATGAGCCAAGCTGCCTGGACTGTATTCAACAGTGCCTTGGAGTACTGTGGGTCCCACTGACTCAGAAAATAGACGGCCGGTTTACAAGCACAATGTATTGGAGCTAGCTCAACCCCAAGAAGGACCGCCCCGTTATCTCTTTCGCTCCCCCCACCAACCCTCCCAAAAAGTGGAAATGTTAAAGTAGAAAATTGCTCTACAGAAAAAACTTACACTTTGGCCTGGTCTTCCTGACACTCCTTTGTTTCCCTTTATTCCAACGATGCCCTAGAGTGAAAGAAAACCTTCAGATAAAGGTCCAAACAGATCAATACAAAGAAAACAAAACCTCATTAAAACAATGAAAACCTCACCTGAGGTCCGGTGTCACCAAACCTCCCATAAGCGCCTGTGTCACCTCTTATGCCCTACATGAAAAAACAGTCACAGCTCAATATATAGTTTTAAACATTAACCTCCAATGAATATAACAATAATAATCCTTGCGTTTGATATAGAGCCTTATCAAGTCTTTGAGACGTCTCAAAGCGCTTCACACAATTTATTGTAAATTGGATTTACTGTGTAGCTCAGTGGTTAGAGCACTCGCCTCGCAAGCGAGAGATCTGGGTTCGATTCCCGGCAGGGCGAAACCTTGGGCAAGTTTCCTTACTCCACATGCCTGATAATAATCCCTCAAGAAAAAAAACAATAATAAGTTGGTCACTCAATCCACGACTGTTTGTGGGACACTGCTGTGCGCAATTGGCTGCCGCGTTTTGCCCACAAATATACAATCAATTCACTTTACAGTCTATCCTGTGAAGCACTTTGAGACGTCTAGAAGAACGTGAAAAGCGCTATATCAAATGCAAGGATTATTATTATTATTAGAAGCCAATTACACAAGGCAATGTTTGGAAGGCGAGCATTGCTGTGCGCAATTGGCTGCCGCGTTCGCCCACAAATGTACAGTCAATTCACTTTACAGTGTGTTCTGTGAAGCGCTTTGGGACGTCCTCCCGACGTGAAAAGCGCTATATCAAATGCAAAGATTATTATTATTATTATTATTATGTTAACCACTGTGCTATAGGACTGTGAAAATAACCCCAATTCCTCTACTTTACTGTTAGGTTATACCACTCATTCCGGATATTATCTTAATTCCCTGGATGGACACACTGCTTAGCTATTTCCAGAGATTGTAGGCACAGGATTGCAAGATTGGGAACCGCAGTGTGTGCATTGAGGTACTACTGGAGTTTAACCAACAAAAACCACACAGCTTGACTGGCAAACTTCCCCCTGCTTGTCCAGCTAAATAATGCTACCCTTCAGGGAGTTGACTTGCAGGATTAATAAGGGTCGAGAATTCCTATCAGGATATCTAGTCTGTCATCATTTGGAGAACTGGAGAACTGTGGACATGTCTGGCTCAGGACCCAGACCACAGAAACCACCACATTGTGAGAGGTTTCACCAATGAACCAGCTCAGTCCCAAGGAGTTAGTAAGTACAGCAAGCCCAAGTTAAATTGCCTTACCCGTACCTCCGGAGGATATCAGTTAAGACAAAATCGCTTTACAGGATAAGACTAGGTGGAATTTCAGGCCCAGTGGCATGTGTCATTTTTACCTGGTTTCCTGGTCTTCCAGGCTCTCCGGCTGTGCCTTTTTGCCCTTCCTGCCCCTAGTGTGAAGATAATTACACTCAGATTATACGTGCCGAGTAATGCATGCAGAGAGTGCGGACAAATGCAGCAAGCAAGTGGAGAGCACAAGAAGAGGAGTGAAGTAGAGATATGGAGATTCCAGATTTGTAGATGAGGGTGAGGATCTAGAAATCGATCTGCTGAGAGACAGGGGCACAGTGGAGCCTGGCAAGGACTAAGGTGATGGGTGTACAAAGTTTTGTGTGGGTAAAGATTCAGGTTGTAGAGTTTTGGATGAATTGCAGCTCATGGATGGTAAAGCTAGGGAGAGCAGTAAGGAACTATGAAAAAGGATGCATTCATTACCTGTGGACCTGTACTACCCTGTGCTCCTGGTTGTCCATGGGAACACTTGCAATGCGGTAGATCCCCAGCAAGACTGTACTCTACACTTCCGTCACACTGAAACAGGAATTGGTAAATCTATCACAGTTAAACAACGAACAAGGACTTAAGCTCACAATAATCCACACGATCACAATGACTGCTTCAGATGAAGAAGGTTCTGCTGCACACATTCGATCTCATTAATCATTAAAGGTAAAGCCACTCTGATTTAATTACTTTACATAGAAAGTAGGAAATGTGTGTAATAGATTATCCAGCAAGGCAGAATTCAATTGGAAATTGGATAGCCTTTGTATCTGGCAATTAAATTAATGGTCCCTTTCAACTTCCCCTTCATCCCCTCCCCATCCTTCACTACAGCACAATGGTAGAGAGTGAAGGAATCTCTGCTCTAAAAATAGTGCCAATTCTATGCCACAGATTAGGCATCTGACAGAATCTTTTAGGATTCCTGTTCTTCTCAACTGAAAATCTACTTCCCGTGGAGCCAAATAGGGAAACGGTGGACCTGCTGATGACGGGGGATCAAGAAATCACAGACCAGCACCAATGATCGACAGAGGAAGAAATTAGCAACACTTGGTCCCAAGTCCTGTGTGATAGGGCTCATGATGGTCAGAACAAGTTAACTTGCAAATTTCACCCCAATTTGTGTTTCTAAATTCAAAACGAGGTAAGATTACAATGGATTTTTTGACCCCATACATCAAATCAGGGTAAATCTAGCCACTCTGAGAATGGTTCACTGGATTTATTTGTAAAACGTCGAAAACCGTTTTAAAATAGTCTGAATGTAACACACTCACCAGATCTGAAAGCTCACAACATCCTTCTGAAAAGGCTTTGTCCGCATTACAATACAGCTCCAGTTGCTGCAGATCGAGCTAAAGAACAAACACCCAAAAGTTTATCAAGTGACATTTTGCTATCCAAACAGTACAGTGCCCAGCCAAGACTGTCAAGCGGCTTGGGATATCCTCCCGACGTGAATGGCATAATATATATTTAATATACGCTTTTATTGTATTACTATGGGATTTACTTTTTTAGTTGCAATGATGACCAAGATAATGTGTTTTTTAAAGAAATAAAATGAAGCTTTTGTTCAACTTTTACAGAGTTAAAGTGGCTCAGTTGTTAGCACTTTTGCCTTTGGGTCAAAATGTTGTGGGTTCAGGACCAATGTCAGATCTTTGAGCATATGTTGACTGGGCAGGCATCTCCAATCATTCAATCACTGCTAGGTGTCATGTTGCACATGCTGAATGAAAACAATATTTACCACAGTTTAAACAATAAAGTTTATAGTTTTATTTTGAGATGCATCAAGTACTTCCGAAACTGAAATATTTCATGCATCTGGTTTTGCTTTCAATTAGACTAAATAACTATACAGTTCTATCACTCCTTCCTCTTGGCTTTTGGATCGTGTGCAAGAGCGCCACCAAGCTGTGATCGACTGGTTGGTGATCCATGGAGTAGGCTGATACTCCAATACAGTCCAAGTGAATCTAGACCAGATGGAATTGTATTCCAAAAGAATGGTGTAGGATTCATGATTTTCAACATGTTTTTGTAGTCTCTTCTGGTCCTCTAGATTTTCTATGTTCCGATTCAGCTTTCCATTAGTTTGGAGATTTGGTTACATTGATATGCAACACAGTCATCAGAGCTTTATTCTTGCATTTGTTAGAAGTACCTTTTCATGTCATCAAAATGTTTCAAAGTGCTTCACAGGATTGCAGTGACTAATGCAGCAGCCACTTTGAGCCCAGCAAATGTCCAAAAAAACAGCCATGAAGTGAATGACTGATTTTATATTTGCACAAAATTGAGCTCAGGTGAAAAACGCAGGGTCAGACTGGAATACGGGTTTTGATCTATAAATCTTTAATCTTTTAATCTATCACCGCTATTTTGAAAATCACACGGGGTTTGTAAAGCGCTCTGAGGCAAGGAATTCCTGCTCTCACACAAGCTGCCAATAACTTACTGAAACTGATGAATCTTCCAGGGCTCGTTTTGCTATTGATGTGTAACCATTCCCACTGATCGGCTGCTTGTCATTAACCTGGGCAGTGCTGACCTCCTTACAGTCTATCAGTAATGTGATCTCATTCTTTTTCACACTAAGCAGTAACTTGTGCCATGAACCATCAAAAAGTACATCGACGGTGGTGAAGGTTTGGAACATCAGTGTGTCAGAGGGAGTTCTATAGAAAAAGTCCAGGGATTTTGAGTCTCCGAAGAAACGGATGCCAACTTGTTCCCTTCCGTCAGCGTCGCTAACTTCCCATAAATTCCAAATGCTCCGGGATGCGTCTCCCAGCATTTTGAACGTGGCTATGATGGAATATTCGGAAGGAATCCCATCTGGATACAAATCTCTAAAGTGAAACATTTGGCGTTGTCAGGTTCGATTATTTTACTGCACTGAAACAAGAACTCAACAATGGCTCATCTTAAACAAATAAGAACATAAGAACGTAAGAATTTTCTTGGTGAAAGAAGACTAAAGTCCATCAAGTACGCTTTCCACCATCCTGACAGTCGCGTGCACATGTCATGTCCCAAACTATACATTGTATCTCAAGATATTATTTCCTAACAGAAATCTATCTAATTTGTCCATGAAAGAACCAACACTTTCTGCTTCCTCCGTCTCCCTCGGGAGCCTGTTCCATACATTTACTACTTGCTCACTGAAATAGTGTTTCCACAGATTTGTTCTGAATTTACCCTCCTTCAATCGCAGGCTGCATCCTCTGATCCTGCTATTCAACACCCTTATGTTTAGCCTTCCTACCTACTCACCCTCCTACCCATCCATATCCCCCTCAACATCCACCAGAAAGTGACAGCAGAATGTTTCAAAGACATCCTGGCAATGGTGGGGCAAATAGGGAGGGGGACATGAGCAGGCTGGTGCTCACTGAGTGAAAGTTAGCGGCCGGGTAGATAACGTTGAATGCGGTCACGAAGGTAGGATGGAGCGAGACTGTGGAAGGATTTGAAGGTGAGAACAAACTTGCTGCAGGGGTGAGGAGCCAATGGATGGGGTTGATAGGTTCACGGGGCCTGGTGTGGGAGAGAACTCGGGCTGCAGTTACATCGCATCTTTCCCATGGTTAAACGCCTGAAAGTGCCTCATAGAGAGTTGAAGCTTGAGTAGGGTGGGAAATCACAAGATCAAAAGATTTGTTAAGATGCTGAAGGCTCTTCTGGCCATTTGATCAGATGCTTCCAGAACACCCACTCTAGCATTGAGTTATGTTTTAAATGTTTGTTGTCCTGGCCTCAATCAACCTTCCTTGTAACCTGTTCGCCTTCCTCTTCCCATCTGGGTCTTTAAATACCTTGAACCTATCTCTTTGACCTATTGTCACTTCCCTTCTTCCTTGCTCAGCATCCAACCCCACCACTGTGAAAGGCACTAAATCTAAATTCAAGTTGTTTTTGTCATGTCTTGCAGTGTGAAAAACCATACCCCATTTCCTTTTTCAGCTGGACTGAAGGACTGAGGCGGAAAGCTGTGTTCTGAGGTTGAGATCCATTCACCTGTGTAATGTCCTCTGATTCAGACACCTGGAATTCCTTCAGAAAGTCAACCCCTGGAGAGAGAGAATAAAAGCCTTTAAAACAAAATCGATTTCTATTTATTCCTACTGATGGGCGAGATCTGATCTGAAGATTTTTTTAAAAAAAGTGAGTGTTATGTTAACAATCAGGTGGTCGTAAAGGGGGAAGCGAAGTTTTGTGACGAAAGAATCTTTAAATCATCAGACCTCCATTTAAGTCACGTACATTACATCAAAAAAGACATCACAGATAAAGAAGAACACATTGACATACAGAGGCTCGTGCACATAGACACACAAGGCCACACACGTGCAGTGCAGCCGCAGACAGGCAAGTGCACGCTAAATAGCGCACGTGTTAGTTACATAAGTTGTGCCATTTTCATGCAACCTTTATATTGAAAGAAAAAGTTGTGCCCCATCAGTTGAAGACATTGATTTTGCAATTAGTCAGATGCTGGACAGGTTGGAGGGGGGAGAGAGTCAAGGAGAGAACAGGTGTAACACAACAGTTCCATTGGTATGTTCAGAAAAGATACAACGAGCTGCCACAAGTGACATCCATACACTGGTCATGCAGTTGAGTGGTGGAACGATGGAAAGGTTCACCGAGCACATGCAAATGCATCCAGTTGACAAGCCGTACCTGGAGCCCTCTCACTCCCTACCGTGCCCTGACACAGCCTCAGCTTACACTGACCGCCCGCCAGCTGCAGTTTGACCTTTTCTAGCAAATTAAAGTCGTCCACGTGATGCAGGTACTGGCTGTGGGGTTGGGAGGCCATGGCTCTCAGCTCCGTCTCGTCCGTGCTTCCGGTCACTCCGATCGTGAAGAGGACAATTCCGGCGTGGTGCGCGGCGCGAGCGGGCACCGTGACATCATCAGCCGACCTGCCGTCTGTCACCACGATAGCCACTCTCCGCACACCCAGACTCAGGCACCTGGCACCTTCCTCCCCTGAGAAGCTCTTCTCGATGAGATGGCGGATGGCCCTGCCAGTGGCTGTCCCCTCCTGCATGTACGAGATCCTCTTCACGGCCTCTTTGATCTCCTCTTTGGTGCGGTGTTGGTCAAGGGTGAACTCGGTCCTGACATTACTGCTGTACTGGACCACTCCCACCCTGGAGCCCTGCCGCCCAATGCTGATGGAATCCACAATTCCGTTGACGAAATCCTTGACCTTCTCGAAGTTCTGAGGGAGAACGCTCTTTGATCCATCCAGCAGAAAGACTAGATCCATGGCTGAATCTCCGCACTTGTCTACAGCAAAGACAGAATAATATAATAGATAGTAAATAGCTTTCAGCCTTGCGTTTGATATATATGCATTTTGCCCACAAAATATACAGTCAATTCAATTCACAGTATATTCTGAGAAGCCCGTTGAGATATCTCAAAGACCTGATAAGGCGCTATGACAAATGCAAGATTATTATATTGGATTATTATTATTATATATAGCATTTCATTACATTGCCAAAATGATGCAAAGCACTTCTTAGGATTTTTACCGTAAAGCGCTTAACTGACAAACAACGGGAAAACATGTTTCGAAACAACAGAGTCGATGCCGTGTTTCACAACACAGATTTCGTAACTCATTCTGTTAATCTATAAAAATACATCACATTTTTCTACTCAATACCTACCCAACAGTAAAATATGTGTTCGGCACACGATGCTGTCGATTGGAAAAACTGGCAAAGTATGCAGCATTCTTAATAAACTTATCATCCCCTTTATTTTTTTTTTTAATAAGAATGTTTCAGAAAGCAATTGCAAATTTAGTATGAAGCAATGCATAAAATAGAGCTGAGCCCACAGGAATTTGATAACACCAACTATTAGCCTAGCTCAATGGCAGCACTCTCGCCCAAAGTCCCAAATGATTTAGTCTGACATGCCAATGCATTGCTAACTAAGGGTGTTCTGCACTGTTGGATGAAATATTAATGATCACCATTCGAAAAGAGAAGGGAGTTGGCATGTCACACTTCCAGTTTCCTTCACTCAATGAAAAAAATACTTCAATTATTTGATCGCATCCTTCCAGAATACAGTCCTCCCATCATAGTGTTAAACTGTTTCTTAAATGAGCCTAGTGTCCTGGCCTGAACCTCCCTTCCTAGTAAACTTGTTGCAGTCATTAATTACCCTCTATGCGAAAAGTAATACTTCTATTAAATCCTGCAATATAAAACACCACCTACACATTTCTAGGTTTAAGTGGGATGCATGGAAGCCTCGGTCTGATTTGGACACTCTTAAGCATGGTGATGGGTTTCTATACGTGTCTGACCTCTGGCTGACCAAAATTCCACTGAATTCCAGTTTTTACTACTCCTGAAGTAAATATGTGGAGTCCTGTAGCTCAGTGGTTAGAGCACTCGCTTTGCAAGCGAGAGACCTGAGTTCAATTCCAGGCAGGGCGAAACCTTGGGCAAGTTTCCTTACTCCACACAGAGCCTAATAATAATCCCTCCAAAACCCAAACAATAATAAATTGTTCATTTTCAATCTACGACTGTTTGTGGGACATTGCTGTGCGCAATTGGCTGCCGCGTTCGCCCATAAATATACAGTCAATTCACTTTACAGTGTGTTCTGTGAAGCGCTTTGGGACATCCTTCCGACGTGAAAAGCGCTATATCAAATGCAAGGATTATTATTTATTATTATGTTTTGTGTATTTATTTACTATAAACACATTTTCTTCCAATGGCTATTGATCTGGTGCTGGCAACTCAGTCGAAATACAAGTTGCACCGAAATTTCTGTGATAGCGATCCAAGAGTGAAAAATGGTTCTATAAAACACAGTCACTGCACTTTACAGTATAACCTGTAAAGCACTTTGAGATGTCTCGATGACATGATAAGTCTACATATTAAATGCAAAGATTATTATATACAATTCCAGTACAATTTACATTTATATTGTGCCTTTCATATCAAGAGGAAGTCTCAAAGTGCTTGAAATTTCAGTATTATATTTATCACACAGAATCTGTTATGAAGCATCAATTTCTTCCGCTCGTAATAATAATAATAATCCTTCCACTTGATGTAGCGCATTATCATATCATTAAGACGTCTCAAAGCTTCACAGAATATTGTAAAGTGGATTGACAGTGCATTTTGTGGGCGAAACGCGGCAGCCAATTGCACACAGCAGTGTCCCACAAACAGTCGTGGATAGAGTGATCAAAATATATCATGTAAGAAGAGCCTATGTGACTGGTTGTCTGAACTGGATGTGGAATCAAGTACGCTGGTGCGATGTGTGTTGAGAGAAGGGTTGAGGAATGTAGCAAGTCGGGTGAATGCAGCATCAGTGAGCCCAGTTCCAGACCCCCTGGTTTAAAGTCGAGGTCAGGTCAAAAGTCAAAGATCCACAGATCCTCTCGAAGAAGAGGTGAATTTATTGAAACAATAATAATCATTGGATTTGATGCAGCGCCTTTAACGGCGAAACATCTCAATGCGCTTCGCAGACAATTGCTCTCAAGGCAAACATGGCCTTGCAATTTCCACGCAGCAAATGTCCCACAAAACATCAATGGCTGCATGACTGATGGCTGAGACACTGGGAAAAACTCCCTTCTCTTCTCATTGACAACGGGATCTTTAACATCCACCTGAAATGTATAAAGTTAATGGTTTAAACTGGCTTCAGGATCAGACCATACCTGGAGAGTTTACATCCTGTTGAACTGATGGACGGACCATTGGATCAACTCCAGGGTCCTGAGGTTGCCGAGAGGCTGGTGTGGGTGATGGCCTGATGGTAGCCGATGGTAACGGCTGTGGTGTGGACATGGTCACTGGAGTTACTCGCGCTTCGTCTGTGGATATAACCTGAGCAGGCGGGGTGGTGTGCACCTCCGAGGGTGATAGGGTCCCGCTGTGCCAGGATCCACTGCCGGTGGTCTGAAATGTCACTGTGGTGGGGTATTGACAGTTGAATCCTGTTGGTTCTTCAGACACAGGAGCAGAACTCTCAAAGTCAAGGCTTTCTAAACAGTCAGACGTAGCAGGGAGTTCAGAATAAGCAGCCACAGGGACCTCAGTGGGTGGAGACTTCTCTAGCAAATACCTTGACGAGGTATCACTATTGTGAGGAATCTTTATGGTGGTAGCATTATTAACGTGTTTGAATGTTTCACTATCAGTGGTATTAGTGGGTGTATCTGTTGAAGTAGAATTCAGCAAGATCTCACTCTCAGTTGTAGCATCAGGTAGATTTGTTGAGTTAGGATGGGGTGACATCTCACTATCAGTTGTAAACGCACCGATTACTATTGAGTTAGGACTCAATAATGTCGTGCTAATAGTCGTACTAGCAGATGGTTTTGTTGAAGTAGGATGCAATAACATCTCACTATCTGTTGCAGTTTCAGATAGTTCTCTTGAGGTATGTTGCAATAACTTTTCACTATCTGTGGTACTAGGAGATGGCCCGTTTGAGGAAATGAGTGAAAATACATCACTATCTGTAGGAGCATCCAATAGATCTGTGGAGACAGACTGTGTTAATACTTTCTCCTCTCTTAGAGCAGCACATAGATTTCTGGAGGTCGGGCTCAATTACCTGAATAACACCCACAAATCCTTCAAGACTTAAAGATGCATCGAGCCCTGTGAAAAAAGTCACAGCGCAAACATCGCCCCTAGAATAGTACTTGGTAAAATTCTTAACAAAGCACAGTCATGTACACGGCACAAGTTATGGGTTCATTTTAGTTCAATTAGAATATTTCCAGGCCTATTATAACTCATTGGAAGAGAGTGTTAGCTTTCAGATGAAAGTGATCTGGGTTCGGACACCCTCAGTCAGTCATTAGGAACAGATGAAAAAATACAAATCAAGTTATGAAACAGAGCTCCCTGTCCCCTCCCTCCTTTATTCTCCATTTATTGAGAATAGAAATAAATCTCTGTGTAATACAAAAAGAAACCAATTGTACTTTAGCGCTTATTCCGGTTTTGTGACACGTCTAGCAAAAAAACTTACAAATTCATGTCCATTCTAACAACCTGGCAAACCAAAAAGTTCAAGCAAATTGTGCTGACAACTAAGTCAAGCATTGCCTTCATGACGTTTCTTCTCAGGTGATGAATCACGCGCAAATTCTAAACATTAAAACATGCTTTGAGCGAGACGAATGAAAAGCACGGGCTGACCTTGAGGTGGAGGTGAAGCCTGACATCTCCAGGTGACGAGAAGCATAAATACAAGAGGACGCACGAGAGGACTGTTTAAATTCAGGGCTTTCATGGCTGGCTCTGATGGTCTCACATACACCTGTGGAAGCAAATCAATAACTACAACATTATAATAATAATATTCTTTACATTTGATACAGTGCCCTTCATGTCGGCAGGATGTCTCAAAGAACTTCACAGGATATACTGTAAAGTGGAGAGACTGTATATATTGAAAGGAAACATAATAGCCACTTCACACACAAACGGAAATAAAGTGAATGACCAGTTTTATTCGGGGATTATCAGCTAGGACATGGAAGAAACTTCATTCTCTTTTCGAATAGTGCTGTGGGATCATTAACGTCCACCAGAGCAGATAGGCAGGCTCTCAGTTTAACCTCTTATCTGAAAGACCCCACCTCCAACATCTCAGCTCTTCACAGAGCTTTTCTGGAAAGTGACTGTACATTGGTGGCAAACACAGAAGCTAATTTGCTCTCAGCAATGTTCCACAAACAGCCATGAATTGGCTCTCAGGCTCAGTGAAAAATTCTGCCATTATTCAGTGCTCCGAGATACTACTCCATGTGACGGGTGTTGCATAAATGCAAGTTGCTGTTTTTGAAACGAATGACTCATTTTTTATCTGGGACATTGTTGGCCAGAATAATGGGAGAAATCCCTTCTCTTCCCTCCTGGGACAATGCAGTGTTGTACTTGTACTTGTATCAAAGTATTTGCTCATCAATGCATCGATGCATACATGAGAGAATGAAGGGATTAGGTGAGTGGAAAAGGAGGGGTTGGGAGCTTATGTGGACTATAACCAGTGGCACGGACTAGTAGGGATGAATGGTTTGTTTGAGTATCGCTCAATGTAACTCTAGCTACGTGACATGAACCCACAACATTCTGACCCAATGCTCCCAACTGAGCCAGACTGATATCTTAGCACAGTTAACATAAACACAGTGTTAACTATCACAAGAAACACATTCTGAAACACGGTAAACTTTACCCCAGCAGGTTCTGAAACGCTGCACATTTCAATCCATTTCAAAGCCCGGCAGCAGGTGTGAACCCCTTCCACCCTAACCTCACCACAGGGCAGCACAAAGACTTGCAGGAACTCAGCCTAATATTGGCCTTTGCAGTGCGCCATTGTGACTGGGAAATCCACGCAGAATTAAGAAACCAGAAATTCTCCTTTAATATCTAAACTGGATGGTTACGTTCGATTTCAAGATCCTCTCACTCGTCTGGAAATTCCTTCACAACCTGGCACCGCCTTAGCTTTCTGACCTCCTCTCTCACCACTCCACAACTCACTGCCTCCACTCAATTGGCTCTGGCCTCCTCTTTATCCCTCATACTCTCCGCTCCACCATTGGAGGCCACGCTTTCAGCCACTATTGGAAAGCTTTGGAACTCTCTCCCTCAATCCCTCCACCTTGCCCCCTCCTTCCCTCTTTTAAATCAAGACCTTCCTCTTCGACCGTGCTTACAGTCACCTCCTCCCTCCCCCCGGCTCAGTGACAGGCTTCGCCACTGTTAAGTGCTCCGAGATGCTGCTGCATGAAGGGCGTGATATAAAAGTAGCTGTTGTTGTTGTTACCTGCTCGTCGGCAGGACTTAGTGCAGCAGAATACTAGGGACAGGGATTTCTGTCACTTAGTTCCTGTTCATCCTGCAAACAAAAGCTCCAATGGTTAGGGAGATCCTCACTAGACAAGCAGCAGGAATGCAAAAGGCTGAAATGTACAGACATGCTGAGAATTTTACAGCCGTTACTGCATCTTCTCAACCGTGAAATCCACTTAAACAAAATCGCTGTTTGTGGGACATTGCTTTGTGCAATTGGCTGCAATAATTCACCCACAGAATACATAGACAATTCACTTTACATTATATCATGGGAAGTGCTTGAGATGTCTCAATGATGTGATAAGGCACAGTATCAAATGCAAGAATTATTATTATTACAGTGAATATGGTCATTTCTAAAACTGTTATTCCCAATTTGTTTTTACTAACACAGGGTTTTCAGTTTAAGGTTTGGATTGTTTCAATCCTCCTCATCCAATAGGTAAACATAATAATAATTCTTGCATTTGATATAACGGTTTTCATGTAAGGAGGACATCACAAAGCAATTCACAGAATATACTGTACTGTAAAGTGTAGTGGCTGCATAATCTCATCTTCCAATCTGTGCACAGCAATATCCCACACACAGACCCGGAAGTCAAATGACCAATTTTATCCAGCAGATTGTTGGCCAGGACACCCGGAAGAAACTCTCTTCTCCAAAATAATCCTTTCGTCTACTCGCCAAACGGATGTGAGACACTGAGCACCAAATGCATCTTCTCCAAGTCACTGGGACTCAGGGAATAAAGAGTACTTTACAGTGGAGAGATTTCATGACAAATGCCAGATAGTTACTTAACAGAAAGCCACTGAGTTGCAGGCACAAAAGCCCATTCAGAAGTGAGATAGCAAGTATCTGCTACTTTTAAAGCCCAAATATATATTTTTCAAAGCAGAATTTTCTCCCCTTTCCCCTCTCAACTTTTCAACTTTACGTTAACCTGCTAGCGGAGTCCGGTAAAATTCCGCACTTTGGAATTCTCATCCATCAGACACATTCCACATGCAAGGGGTATTTTCCCAGTGCTTCTCAGGTGCTTCTGCTTGATTTAGGCGGCTACAGGGAGCAAATGTTTAAAAAGCACAATGGGTGAAAATTGCGATGTTATCCCATCAAACACATGATAAAATATTGCAGATTTTACCTATAAAGTCTTTGATAACCCTTCACGACTTCACTGGACACTCCATTTGCTCAGCAAACAGGCATGTTTCATGTCCCTCACCTACAGCACCTCATCATCAGTGGCCGAGCTACCAGCCAATCTGACCCCACTCTCTGGAACTCGGGAAGCCCTCGAAAGAGCATAAGAATTTGTTAGGCGAAAGAAGACCAAGGTCCATTCAGTTCGTCTTCTACCATCCTGACACATTATGTCCCAAACTGTATATTGTATCCCGAGACATTATTTCCTACCCTCCAACCTACTTCTTCCTTCCCTGCCTCAAGAATTATTTTGCGTCTTTTCTCCCCCCTTCCCTCCCTTTACCTCCTGTCCCCCCAACTCAGCCCCCAGTCAATAACACCACCAATTACATTATGATGGGAGGAAGTTCCAAGGTGCTGGCCAGTCAAGGGTTTGTACCCACGCTGGGGGTTGGAATCAAAAGGATTGGAGAGCAAAGAGGGTTGAAAGGATGACTGAAGGCACAGTCAAAGAGGAGAGTCTTGAGATGGGCCTTGAAGCAAGGCAAAGATGGAGTTCCAAGGGTCAGGGTAGAAAGGCTGAAAGCCTGACCAACAATGGTGGAGCGGACAATTCGGGGGACATGGAGCAGGCCAGTGCCTGCCGAGTGGGGGAGCAAAGTGGAGGGAGTCAATTGTGTGAAGAACTTTGAGACGCCCCCCCCAAAGTAAAAGGCACTTTATAAAAGTAAATTGTTATTGCAATCGTAATTTGAAAACTTTGTCCTGCATTTTACACCTGAATTCCTATTCAGTTTCCTCCGCTGTCAAGGTATACCTCAACGGTAACGGTTTTCATTCCTAGAATTTCAGTAACTACGTGTTATAAACAAGTTAAAATAGAAAAAAAGAAATTGCATTATTCTAGTTCCTTATATGTGTTTATAAGCATATTACAACAAGTTTTGTCAGGTGTAGTGACTGTATTAGCAGGCTACCATAGCAACTATTGTGTGCACAGCAAGTTCCCACGAGTTGCCATAAGGTGAATGACCTATCAATCTGGAGAACTATTGGCCAGTTAGCCAGGACACTGAGAGAAACTCCTTTCTCTTTTCCAATAATTTCATGGAAAAACAGGCATATGATGCCTCAGTTTGAAATCTCACCCAAGGACAAAAACCTTGCTGATGATGCAGCCATTCCCAGCACTGCACTGGAGTGCAGGCTAAAGCTAAAGTGCTTCCAACTGAGCCAAGGCTGACTTCCAAAACTCTTGAGATCACTCCCCCTTTATAGCCCTAATGATTTACAAGTTTTTTACACTATCCCATCACCAAACGGATCCTTCTCAATTGCAAGTCTATAAAAGTAGTTAGAATGTGCCTCACTGTCAAAGCTTATCGGCAGAATGTAAGAACTCTAACATACTGGAAATTCTCAGTCGTATGTTTAGTTTAAAGAGAATCTAAATACATTCAATCAATCCACGTCTGTATTGTGCTTAAACAATGCACTCTCATGATGATTCCCCAGTTGAATTGCTTTGAAATGACTGAGATGCAGATTTTTCTGTTCAAATCCAAAGGTTTTTTTTTTGCACATTAAGTAACCCACCAAAAATCAGACTAACTGAAGTGTTTGTTGCAGGAAGAGGACGTTCAACCAAAGTCAAACCTTTGCATGAAACACTTCAGTGTTGATTTACAGGAGAATGTTACACCAAGGTACAAGGGCATTTGGCCCAACTAATGCTGGCCAATGTTTACAAATCTCCACCCATCCTATTCTCTTCTACCATACCTCTTTATTCCCTTCTCCAATCCTCTCACTCATCCATAAATCCCATCACGTCCTGCCACCTCCCTACCTTTCTGACCTGCTTTCTCCCCACTCCACTACCCACTGCCTCCACACAGCTGGCTCTGGCCTCCTGCTTGTGCCTCGTCCCCTCCGCTCCATCATTGGCGGCTCCACATTCAGCCACTGAGTCCCGATGCTTTGGAACTCTCTCCCCCAATCCCTCTCCTTGGCGTCCTCCTTCCCCTCTTTTAGATCACAACTGAAGACCTTCGCCTTTGACGCCTCCTCCCTCTACTTGGCTTAGCGTCAGGCTCCACCACATATAAGCGCTCCAAGATGCTGCCCGCGTGAAGGGTGCTATATAAATGCAAGTTATTGTTGTTGTTCCCCCGTCATATATGCATAGAGTTTTCTATTAAATACTTTCTGCTTCAACCAGAGTTTCAGATTCTCACCAATCATTGAGTAAAGAAGTTTCTTCTAAACTCCCTTTTTAGATTGCCTGTGGCTATCTTATACTTATGCCCCTTGTTCTGGACTTAGCCACAAGTGGAAATAGCCTATTAACATCCACCTCAGCAAATCCTGTCAGAATTTTAAACACTTCTATCAGGTCCCCTCTCAATTATCTCATCTCCTGAGAAAATCCTTTAACCTGTACTCGTCTCCTCACTTCCTTCTGTTTTAAAGCCCAGAATTATCAAGTAAGAATTCCTCAGTACATTAGAACTTAAGTTCCACATTTAACCTGTAATATTGTCAAACAACAGAACCAATTTTATAGAATTAATTCAAATGAGGGCCAGTTTGACGGAGCAATTTCCTTTTAACTTCTAATGCCAGTTTCAAAATTATTAACCATAAAGATTGTAAACGCAGGATTACATAGGATTACATAGAGTCACATAGACTGTATAGGATGGAAACACCACACAGCCCAACTAGCAGGTACCAGTGTTTACAATCCACATGATCTTAAAGCCCTCTTAATTCCTTCTCCCATACCCTCTAATCCCCCAAAAAGATTATGTGGTCACTTCAATCCGCAACTGTTTGTGGGACACTGCTCTGCACAATTGGCTGACGGATATCGCCCACAAAATACAGTCAATCCACTTTATAGTATATTCTGTGAAGCAGTTTGAGATGTCTCAAAGACGTGATAAGGCGCCATATCAAATGCAAGGATAATTATTATTATTATTCCCTTCTCCCTTGTGTGTGCAACAATGGTATTCGGTACCGACAAAACTATGAAGAAGTAATTAGCGAGCAACCAACCAACAAAGACAAACTTACATATTCCTTCACTCCAATTATGCTTCTCTGTGTGGTTTTGTGAATAAACTGGAGATCCTGGCAAGTGGGAAATGTATTTAACAAGACATAATACTGAAAAAGGGGAGGAGAAACCAGCCTGGAAGTTCAGCTATAGGTAAAAAGACTTCTAAAAGTAGTATGCAAAGACTTTAATAACAGTCTGCATTTTACTCCAAACCTGTGCACTGCCTCTACGCAGGACTGTTAAAGTACTTAAGCAAATTTTATGCGGATGGAAATAATGTTCTACTGTATTGGCTCCTGGTTGAATGATTGACATGGACATTTGGAGCCAGTCAGAGAATCTCTCTCTCTCTCTCACACACACACACACACACACACTCGCTCTTCTCTGTCTCTCTTGGGCTCAAGGAAATCACATTACAATGTCCCTGTTGGCTAGTGTTTAACATTGTGGTCTAAATTGCAATACTGAATGTGTAGCTTTAATTTCCAGCTTACAGTTTGCAATTCATAACAACAACTTGCATTTATAAAGCGTCTCTCTACGCAGGGTAACGTCCCAGAGAACATCACAATAACAAATGACAGTGTTTACAATGGCAAGCTGACCAGTTAATTACACTCCAGCACAATCTGAGGTCCCTAAGCCTTGGCCCTTGCTAATTGCATCTGAATAGAGGGCAACTATCTGGTGAGAGACAGTCAAACTTGAACCATGCACATGTGGAACTTTCAGTATTCTTGAGAAATGTGGGGAAAATAACAAAAAATATGCATTTATACAGTGCATTTCATATTAACAATAATAATCTTTGCATTTGATATACCGCCTTATCATGTTGTTGAGAGGTCTCAAAGCGCTTCACAGGATTTTACTGTAAAGTGGATTGACTGTGTATTTTGTGGGCAAAACACGGCAGCCAGTTGGCACGGCAGTGTCCCACAAACAGTCATGAAGTGAGGGACCAATTTTGTTTGGGGGATTGTTGGCCAAGACATCGGGAGACACTCCCTTCTCTTTTCAAATAGTGCCATGGGATCTTTAACATCCACCTGAACAGCGAGAGGGTTGGTTGAGCAACCAACGGGGTTGGTTTAACGTTTTATCCCTGGCTGGTTACCTGAACCAAGGTGAGGGGAGGGAGGGAACGATGACTATAAGTGCAATCAAAGAGGGAAGTCTTGAAGTGGGCTTTGAAAATGGGGAGGGAGGATGTGAGTCAGAGGGACTCCGGGATGGAGTTCCTGAGAGCGGGGCACAATGGCTCAAAGCCCTCCCACCTTCCAAACTAAGCCTGGAATTAAAAACTTTCCACCATCCATGCAAGATTTTTGAGTAATCGGGCAAGTGTTCTCCTATTTTTTTAAATGAACTTTAGAAATTTTCAGTAAGTACAATAAACTAACACCATATCACCATTCACAGGATTGATGCAGGACAGAACCTCTAGCAATGCAACAGTCCCCAGCACTGCATTGGAACATCAGCCTACACTATGAGCTCAAAGTCTCACAGTAGGGCTTTAACCCCCAAACGTTTTTTTCGGACTACAAGATGGGAGTCGTATATTGAGTTATTTTTATACAGAGGTTTTGTGCCCAAATTCACCCACCAAATACAGTCCCACCACAGTACTGTATATCCTGTGAAATGTCTTGAAAAGTGTCATCAATCGAGCCAGCCTGATGCTGCTAAATAGTAACTCACTTGTGTCACAATTTTCAAATCAAGAAATGAGTTTGATGATTTGTCGCAATATTCTGAGGCCAAATAGGGGAATGCAATACTTTGGGAAAAAAGCACATCCTAAATTCACCCAACTGTTTGAAACTCTATCCATTTGATATCGTCATTGAGATGTCTCAAAGCACTTCACAGAATTTAACTTTAAAGTGCAGATGATTGTCTTTTAAAAAAGAGGGCTGCATCAGCGCAATAAATCAGAATTTTTTTTTGAGGACCCGGGTTCGATTCAGCCAAGATTCCTAACTCCACACGCCTGTGTTTACCTAGCAGTAAGGGGGAACCCAGTTGTTAGTCGATTGGAAGAGAGTTTTCCAGGGGTAATACTCCCTCCAAAAAAGAGCAGGCATTCAATCCATAATTGTTGTGCTGTGCACAATTGGCTGCCACATTTCACCCGCAAAATACAGTCAAATCACTTTGCAGTATATTCTGTGAAGCGCTTTGAGATGTCTCAGCGATGTAATAAAGCACGACATCAAATGCAAGGATTATTATTATTATTGTAAACCAGAAAGTTGCAGAGTTGTATCTGGACACAGTTACTGTTTGTGAATGTTGAGGTCACAGTGGCAGGTATTGGACACAGGCAGCTCTTTCGGTCAAAGTATGTTGAAGTTTCTTGTTGGAATGTGTTCAATGCATCACCAGCGATGGCATCCAGTCAAGTGTAAATAATACCGAACCGGGAAAACCCAAAGGAGAGTCGTACATTTGTTAAAAGCAATAAGAACCGTGGAGAACCAGATTCCAAAGGCAACCAGCTTCTCGCAATCAATTTGACAAATCACCTGCCCATAAATTCACTGAACAAAAATTTGCAATTATATGGCACTTAAAAATGGCTTAGGAGAATGTCTCAAAGGACTTTACAAAGATAGAGTGGGAGGGAGGCGAGGAGAAGCTGGTTAAAGGTGTAGTGTAAGAGATTTGAAAGTGTTTTGAAAGCTGAGCAGGAATGTGGGAGGGGGGGACGACGAGGCAGAGGGATAATAATAATAATCCTTGCGTAGCATAGCTCCTTATCACGTCGCTGAGACGTCTCAAAGGGCTTCACAGAATATATTGTAAAGTGGATTGACTGTGTTTTGTGGGTGAAATGCAGCAGCCAATTGCGCACAGGTGTTTCCAACAAACAGTCATGGATTGAAAGGGTTATTACCCCTGGAAAGCGATCCACCAATCCACTAACAGCCAGGTTTCCACTTACTACTAGGTAAACAGAGGTTTGTCAAGTAAGGAAACTTGCCTAAGGTTTTGCCCCGCCTGGAAATCAAACCCGGGTCCTCTGATTTGCGAGGCGAGCTTGCTAACCACTATGCTCCTTGACTCAATTTTTGAACCGGGGTTTGAAAGCTGAGAAGGAAGGGGGGATGTGGTGGGGTGGCAACAAGGTAAAGGGATGTTGGAATAGAGTTCCAGAGAGTGGAAGCAAAGTGGCTATGTGGTATGCAACAGGGAATATCTATTCTTTCTAAATTTACATGGTCGGTCGTATATTGAGTTATTTTATACAGAGGTTTTGTGCCCAAATTCGCCCACCAAATACGCACAGTCACTGCACAGAATTATATATTCTCTGAACCGTCTTGAAACATCTCAACAACATGATAAGATGCTGAATGAGACTGGTCTTCCCCTCCAACTCCTGACGATGAGCCACACAAGCTGGTTTGCAATCAGCAGTGCCCTGGAGTACCATGGACTATCTGGCTTAGGACTACCACATAGAATTTATTTGATTCCATTGCCAAGCACCTTGGAGCCAACTTAGTCCCAAGGAGATGCACCAAAGCTTTCTTGTCCAGTAGCTGAATGTCAAACAAATCGGTCAATAATTCATTTTTGAAACAAATTTATCCCCAGCTCTGTTTTTCGATACTTTTAAGTATAGCAATGGGTTTCCTATTTGTCAGAAACCAGTTAACCATAGGAAATAAATGATTTGTTTACCCATCTGCTGAGTTTTGTTGTTTTGGGATTGGCAACACTGCCGACATGTATAATTGATGCCTATCGTTATTCCACTACTTTGAGTGCATTATGTCCGATCTCGTTCAGCATCCGTTTTAAACAATGCCTTGTTTGTTTCGAGCCGGCAAGCAGCAGTTCATGACTTGGTCACGCAACGTGCATAAGATTCTGATGTAGTATCTTGCATGTAAACACTAAACCCTAACATAAACATACTGAGATAGACGGGGTCAAAGATTGCAAAATGATAACTGGTGCAGACAACGAAGCAGTATAACATGAGACGCCATATGACCTTCACCCATTTGATACGAGGAGTCCTGCAGCCTGCTGGTTAGAGCGCTCACCTTGCGGATCACTTTCTAGGGGTAATAATCCCTCAAAAAAAAATTGGGAGTCGCTCAATCCACACCTGTTTGTGGGACACCTTTGTGCGCAATTGGCTATCATGTTTCAATCACAAAATAAGATTATGTTTCACGCACCAAACAAAATTTGATCTTGCCTCCTTCAAAGCCCACCTCAAGACCCTCCTCGTTGACCACATCTTCGATCACCCTCCTACCTCTGCCCTCCCTGCCCTCCACTTCTCATGATCCCAACTCCCATTTTCGGTCCAAATCCCTGACTTTCCAGCATCTGGGGACGTTTCCCCACCTTCAATACCCAACTTAAGATCTATCTTTTCCACGGCATTTCGGTCACCCTTCTCCTGCCCCATCTCCTCAGCTCCCCCTATCCCTCTCCTTCCCAGCTCAGCCTCCCAGTATGCCACATGGAAAGTATGAGATTTCCTCCCAGTTATGTAACTGGTGCTACATAACTGTAAATTGCTGTTTTAAATTGCTCTAAATCATACCTTCTGAGCATATGAGGTTAGTTTATTCTTAACCCAACAAGTGAAGTACACTGCATTCTATTAGTGAAATAAACCCACAATTCATCCAGAGTCAGCTCATGATTCAAATTGTACAGTCACTGTAAACTGTTTCCATATCAGGATGTAGCAAGTCTTCCTGGGCTGCCATCTTACATTCCTCTAACATGATGTTTCTATCAGCCGAGCTCAGGCTGGCACTCTCTCCTCTTGGGTCAGAGGTTGGTGGGTTTCAGGCCCACTTCAGGACTTGAGGTTATTGTCTAGGCTGACACTCTAGTGCAGTGCTATGGAAGTGCTGCATTGATGGAGGTGCCGTCCTTCAGATGAGGCGTTAAATCAAGGTCCCATCTGCCAAATTAGAAGGACATTAAAAGATCACATGTCACTGTTCGAAAAGAGAAGGGAGTTATCAACAACAACAACAACAAGATTCCATTTATAGAGCGCCTTTCACATCGGGAGGACATCCCGAGGCGCTGTACAGTTGGGTCA